CTTGCTGCATTCGGCTCAGTCGCCCTTATGATAAACGTGACGCACTTGTATCCATCAGGTTATGCGAAAAACAATGGATTCTAGGATTGGAAGCGTGAAGACTAACTCGGTTCTTCCCCCACTGCCCTTGATGTGGTAGTCATGGCACCCCCATTTGTTTGACGTCCGCGAAGCCTCGGCTTCGAAGTCCGCTTGCGTGTGTGGTACACTTTGTTAGCCACTACACTGATTCTCACCTTCGATCGTCCTAGCTGTGTCTTTCTAAGCAGTTAGTTGTACTTCCGATCCCTAAGATCAGCGGATGGAGTCGATTTGCAGTAAAAAGTCGACGCAATGAACGCCAGTCTCCGAAGCGGCTACCCTCTATCTCCGCAAGAAGGAGGCCCAAAGATAGAAATTTCCACATAGACCTACGGTCCTTCCATATCGTCGACTTCTACTGATGCGCTTTAATAAAAGTTAAAAGTTTCGGAGGGGTGCACTATCTTTCCTGGATTGGCTGTTGAGAGTTCACAATTTTCAAGTCTTCTAAATACCACTGATCAACGAAGATTTTTGTCTTGACCCTCTGGGGTCAGTTACAAATCATCAAACCGTAGAGTTTGGTTACTACGCCTACTTTGTCCACCTTTCTCTACCGGGACTGCATGGCCCGGCCGTCATATTTGTTCTGGTTGCCTACTTTGAGGCCTTTCATTGCTGACGGTTCTACTCCTTGTTGCTCCTTTAATTCCGGTAATGTTTTTATAAACCCCTAGATGACGAGAATGCGGTAGTCACCCTACCTCTGGCTCCAACAAAGGGCCTCTCAACCGCCTTCTTCACTCAGATGCCTTTTGCTCTGCCCGCGTACCCCACCGCCAATACCTTTGAGTATCCCTCCTTCATTGAGAGCCGTCATTCACTGTCAGCAGCAGCAGCAGTGGCACCGTTACAAACTGCCTTTGGTGGTGGTCGGCGTTTCTCGCCCATAATTGGCCGACGCTCGAAGCTGCTGTCCCCTCTGATAGAACCCTATCCCGAGGCGCGAACCGCCGACGGACAGGTCTTGACCCGTTATGGCTGCCGCCGAA